TATATATATATTAGGGGCCGAAAACCCCAAGGTCAAAGTGGTAAACATCTCCAAAGGTGGTAGAGAATGATGAAGCCAAGATCCTGTGGGACTTCCAGATACAGACGGACAGAATGGTAATGGCAAACCAACCGCACATTGTGGTGGTCGACAAAAAGCAGAGGAAAGCCGTGGTTTAAATAGCAATACCAAGTGACTATAACATCAGAGAAAAAGGAACATGAGAAACTAGTGAAATACCAGGAGCTCATGGAAGAGCTTGGTCATTGGGGCACTTGGGGCAATGATCCCCAAACTGGAGGAGTGGTTACAGCAGATCCCTGGAAATACATCAGACATCTTGCTCCAGAAGAGTGTGGTTCTAGGAACAGCAAAGATACTGCGCAGGACCCTCAAGCTCCCAGGCCTCTGGTAGAGGACCTGATCTTGGAGGGAAAAGCAGGGAAGAGGACCCGCGATGGGTGAGGAAGAGTTTTATTTTTGTGTATATATATATATATATATATATATATAACATGACTGTTAGGTTAATTGGTTAGGTGTGAGTGTGTGCGTGAAATTACAAATTATGCTCCATTAACACATCCATTTTGTTGTGATGGACCTGTATGATATATTACATGATTTATAGACTTATTGACTTCATAATGACTATGCAATGTAATGCGCTTATTTTTTTATTGTAAGTTAAGTAACTATGCTATGAAACACCAAGTATGTGTCAAAGTGATTAATTATTTTCATTTTAAAAGACTTTAGTCCCCCTGAAAATGAGAACATCATTGTTATTCGATGCTGTAGCGCACGTATTGTTTATACTGTAACCGGTCTAACTAGGGAGTACCAATATGGTGGTCGGTGGCTTCACTTCAACTCTGTACTACCAACGGGTAATCAGCAATTCAGTGTTTTAATAGAGATCAGTGGGGCAGCCCTAAGGACAAAAGTCTGAGGTTGTTTAGCTAAATTTTAATAAAACTTTGATTCTGCAGAATGAATGCTGAATTAACATCCAAAGTTAACAAGGGAAATGACGTATCATTGCAACCCTAAAATGATTCATTGTAATATTTCTGTTTTTTTACAGTAAGAGATGAAAATCATGTCTTTTTCTTTTGTAATCTGGCATTCAGTGCTTGGAGAGACTGTTAGCAGCTCTTTAAAACAGGGTTTTGGTTTTTCACTGAGGGTTGTTCAAACGTATTTCTATAAAGTGCATTCATTTTTCTGATCAAGCATGCCTTGCCTTGGGATTTCTTCTTTTGCAAATAACAGTGATGCCCTGCCACAGAGTGAACAGTAGCGCCATCCAGTGGACTACAGATGAGTTTTTCAACCCTGGTCCTTGAGGCACCGTGCCCTGCATGTTTTAGATGTTTTCCAACTTTCACACACCTGTTATCAATTGATAGCAGATTATCAGGCTTTGCTGAACTGCAATCATCTGAATCAGGTGTAATGAAGCTCAGAAACATCCAAAACATGCAGAAGAGTGTGCCTTGAGGACCAGGGTTGAAAAACACTGGACTAGAGTAACACTACAGCACTAAAAAAGATTCCTTCTAGATTACATTATCAGTTAATCAGATAGAACACATACTTTAAAAAACCATGAATTAAAAGTTAATAGTAAGTCAACTGTTTACATCCCTTGAGGCAATAAAGCATTAAAAACACTTTAACACTATTACAGAAAGTATAAAGTACACAGCACAGGATTAGAAAAATATTTGTGTAAGAATAAGAAATAATTGATTTAACAGTATAACAACTTTTTACTAGTTATTACACAAAGACACTGATATGTTGAAATATCCAAGTTTTCTTAGATTACTAGAATCTTTCAACTACAGTAGATATGTTTCTAGGTTGAAAATATTAACAAGGACATTTGCCACTCAACTATTTTTATTGCATCTATTAGTATTCAAACAAAAATCAAGCTTAACGGGAATGTTTTTTTTTCTCACTGTTAGCATTTTTAACACAACAAATCCAAGGAGGGGAAATCATTTTATATTAGATTGTTTAAAAACAAACTTGGATTTGGCTCTATGCAATGATAATTAGAGGCAGCCCCATATAAATTCTGCCTTTAAGGTTATTTAGGATTATACTCTCAATGGAGGTCATTGATTATAGCAGCAGGGTTGCAAACCTTCTGCTCTACTCCTCAGGCTCAGTCTGGCACCAAAACCTATTTTCTCACATTAAAGCTCAGTTACAGAGACCCTTCAGTGTGTTGCGCAGGACAACAGTAAACCTTGATGGTGGAATTGATGCAATGTTGTCTGAAATAACAGGGGACAATAAACTGCATGACTAATGGAAAAGTAGAAGAGAGATGCTTTATTGACATACAAACGGCTGTTTGCAGTGCCAAAAACAGTTCCAAACTGTAATAAACTGATGTAAAATTCAATGCGATTTAAAGTATGCTTATTTTTTTGTTGTTAGAGATACTGGGGATAAAAACACTAGCACAATACCCATCCCCCTAAAAACCATAACTATCCCAAGTCTCTAGAAACCATAACGCTTTTGACTTTCATTTCAGGTAGGATTTTTTTTTTTATGGTCTTTTAAACTGTGGCTTTGAAAAAAAAAATATTGCAAAACATAGCATACATTGAGCTTTACTGGGCTGATGATACGACAGTAGCTAAGAAACATTTTTTTGTGGTAGGATTTTTTAAATTGTCGATTGAAATATTTTGCTTTTGAATAAGGGCATCAGTCCCTAGAAAACTTGTCCAGCAACACCCATGAATATTGGGGGGCTCTTATTTATAGAGATGTTTTAAAAAATGCATCACTTATTGATCAGATCCGGTTTTAACCTTAACCTCTTACACCCTCAGGGGGTATAAATAAATTTCTGCCTGACAAAAACACACAAAAGTAAATCACTTATAGCCTCACAGCTATTAGATTTAAGAAGAAACTTTTGGTACCTCTGTAAAGGCAAGATGTCATAGAATGGTTTTCTGGTGTCAGCACCATTGTAGCTTTGACCCTGCCTGAAATATTAGGGACAAAATACAAAATATTTTGCATTTTTTGAACCTCGCCAAAATTTTCTTTGAAATAAACATTGCAAAACACTACCAAAATATTATTTATAGCACAAAAAAGTAGTACAGACTTTTAAATCTAAATGTTGTGTAAAAATATACCAAATTTGGACTCAATCAGATGAATCATATTTATTTTAGAATGGTATTAGTGAGAAATTTCTTAGGCGGAGAGGCCATTTTGGCACATTTATCCATAAATGTCACCAAACTGTGCCAAATGTGTCTTTTACATCAATACTGGGGGTTTGTTAAAATTACGAGGTCATGTAGCCGCTGGACCCACCGGTGGGTCTGTAGGGTTCTAGGGGTTAAGTCATCTATTGTTTACTTTAGTTAATTTGGGATCTGTTTTATATGCTTAAAACCACCAACTGAGCAACAGAATAAGAAACTGGATCCATCCTGTCCACAAATGTAAAACATCATTACTTCCCCATCTAATTGATTGGAGCTGAGGTGCGAGATATGAAAGCATCAAAAATTGGATATGTGATTTAACGAGGTTTTAAACAATAAAGGCCCATGTGAAATAGTAGCTGTGTGAATATCTTTAAGATTTCTAGAGTTCATAGATATATTTATGAACTAGATAAAGGTAACTCTGCAATAATTTTTAGTAATGTTCATACAAAGTTAGATGTGCAAAGAATTAAATTTGAGAATTTCAGACTATTTCATCGACACAGAGCTCTGGCTATCCAGCTCATTTATAACATGTAAACCTTTATGAATCTTCTTAAAATAATCGGAACTGAGAATCAATAGAAACTGAAAATACTTAAAACTGGAATTGTTTAAATTAAACTGATATCCAACCCTACAGGGAACTACGTTTTTTTTCATGGTTTATTCGATGTGTCTCAATTATGTAATCACATTTAAGAATTTGCAGACTGAGGAAACAACTTATGCTACAAGTTTTACCGTCAGCTGCACAGCACATAGCAGGTATGCTAAAAAGGATGTTTTAATACCTATGTCGTTTTCTCCCCAGCGTGGATTTTCATGTGTATGTTTAAACTTTGTTTTGTAGTAAATCTTTGTGCGCAAAGATCACAGCAAAATGGCTTCTCCCCTGTGTGGATTCTTATGTGATTGTTTAAACTTTGCTTTGTAGTAAATCCATGTCCACAAAGATCACAACAGAATGGCTTCTCTCCTGTGTGGATTCTCATGTGTGTGTTTAAATTAGTTTTTTGGCTAAATTTTTTTTCACAAAGATCACAACTGAAAGGTTTCTGTCCTGTATGGATTCTCAAGTGTCTGTTCAAAGCTTCTTTACGAGCAAATTTTAGTCCACATGGCCCACAACAAAAAGGTTTCTGTCCTGTGTGGATTCTTCTGTGGCTGTTTAAATGTTGCTTTTGGATAAATTTTTGTCCACAGATGTCACAACGGAAAGGTTTCTGTCCTGTGTGGCGTCTTATGTGTGTATTCAAAGTTGCTTTACAGCTAAGTCTTTGCCCACATACATCACAACAGAAAGGTTTCAGTCCAGTGTGGATTATAATGTGTCTTCTAAAAGTTGTTTTATCACCAAATCTTTGACCACAAACATCACAGCAGAATGGCTTCTCTCCTGTGTGGATTCTCATGTGTGTGTTTAACATCCCCTTTTGGCTAAATCTTTTCCCACAGACATCACAACAGAATGGCATCTCCCCAGTATGGGTTTTGATGTGATTGTTTAAATTTCCTTTTTGGCTAAATCTTTTCCCACATACATCACAACAGAACCGCTTCTCTTCTGAATGGATTTTGATGCGTAAAACATCGGTAAAACATTTCTTGTCCATTGAGCCTGAGGATCCTGTTTCGGAATCTGACACAGCAAACTCAGAAGAGCCTAACGGTTTTTCAATGTTTCCAACTAACTCATTGTCCATATTCTTAGTTTTTAGGTGTTTCAGCCCAGAGACAGAGTGCTTGATATCACTGTCCTCTCCATCTGTCTCACCATCTTCAATCTTTAAGGAAATAGAAACATCTCCATGATTTTGCATCCTGATGGATTTTTTTTCTTCTCTATTTTTCTCATCGGGAAGATCTCTGTTGTTACTCTTTTCTTGATAAAGCTGTTGGACAGGAGGCAGTTTTTCATCTACACTCGTCAGAGCAGAAGTTACAGGAAACTTGATGTCCGCAATCTCTTCAACTTTCCCCATACTGATACGGCCCTCTTCCACTTCCTCCTTTATGTGCTGGGGCTTTGGCTTGTGCAGGTCAGCACAAGGTCTGTGTCCTTCAGGGTTTTCTTTTTTAACCATCAGTATTGGTTTAACATCTGCAGGAAACATTGAAATACATGCAAATTAGAAATTAGATTGACCTCAAAATGAAATTGGTTGCTTTGTAGAGAAAGAAACAAATATTTCTGAGCTAGTGATTCAATGCAATCAGCTGGATTTTATTAGATGGAAAACTAAAAACTAGGACTAAATCAAGTAATCGATTAATCAGATTAAATTATTATTGAAATAATCGCCAACTAATTTACTAATCGTTAACTGGATTATAGAGAGTGTAAAACAGGCCTGTAGCTGACAGAGCAACCCACTTAGAGCAGTAATTATATAAACATTGTAAATATATGTAAACATTTTGCATTTAAGATTTAAAAAACATTTCCGTCTCTCAGTATGCTCTGTCCAGAACAACCTCAAGTGGAAACGTTTGAGTTTCACCTGATTTAATTTTGTAAAAAATCTCCTTTAAGGAATCATTTGCTATCCACTTATTAATGGATCAATCGAAAAAAAAAATATCAATAGATTGATCGATTTGCAAAATAATCTTCAGTTGCAGCCTTACTTTGAACAAATCTGACCGTAGGATTTAACAGGATCGTCTCTGTAAAGAGCCTCGAGAAGATGTGTTGTTAAGTGGTGCTATAGAAATACTCTAAATAGATGTATGGCTATTGCAGATATTTTAAAAGCATCATCACACCCATACATGCAGGTAGAATAATTAAATGGAACCTTATTGATCTCACATTGGAGAAATTTACCTCTGCATTTAGCCCATCCTCTTGGGGAGCAGTGGGCTGCCATCCTGCCGCGCCCGGGGAGCAGTGTGGGGTTAAGGGTCTTGCTCAGGGACCCAGAGTGGCAGTCTGTGGGAGTGGCGCTCAATCTCAGAGCCTCAGGAAGCTCTATGCCCTAATTACTAGGCTGCCACTCCACGCCTTCATAGTAGTATCCCTCAACCTTTTTTCTGTGGAGGATGAATAATCCTCTACCTTAATAGAGGATTCTTAAATTGGGTTGAGTCAATTAGCGGTTCTTAGCTGCTGCTGAGTTGTATAACATTCAGCCTTAACACCAATCTGAGCTAATTAACCGGTAAAGATGCCTCTGAATGGAACCCAGTCACCTCAACAATCACCTGTGGTTGTCCACCGTCTAGATTTTTACGGTCGGTCTTTGTATAAAGGTCATTCCGGGAACGTAATGGTTTGATTTCTGATTAGAAAAGCACGAGGGGTCAAGAAACTAATGCAGTAGACACCTTCAAAATTTTGTTAAATTGAAGAAGACATACATACCTAAACTGTGCAGCAGAACTTCCGGGTTGAAGCCAGCCTCCATGATGTTCGGACGCTGCTGAAAACCGTTTCAAATCTCTCAGCTGCTCCCTGCCTGATGTCCTACGTCTCTGCTGTTAATTATCTGCTGATGTTCCTTTAACAGTTTCAGAGCAGTTAGAGCTCAACTCACGTCCAAACTAAGCGAAATAACGTTATGTTTTTGTTTTGTTTTTTACAGATAGTGAGGCGATATTCTTCTTGGATTTATTGGCGGTTGGCAACAAACTTTTAAGTAGCATTACCGCCACCTACTTGCATGGA